AAGGGGCAATGGCGGCAAGTTCCTGCCCAGTGCATCAGGCACATCTCCTCTGTGACTACGCCACCTTCCCAGGTACCCCTGCATAATAGGTGTGAGGCTCTGCAAGTGGAACTGAACAGTAAGGAGGACAGTAAGTAGTGCTCTCCTCTATCCTTCCAGTTGCAGGGAATGATGAGGGAGAAACAGGAAGAACTAGCAGATCAACACCTGGCTCCAAGCCTGGTGTCACCATCAGAATTTGGGGGGTTTTGATCATGGGTCGATCTACACAATACCAGGCCTGCTGGCGACAGACGGGGTACGCCTGTCTCAAAGGGGAAAATGGAAGTTGCACAGGAGTTAGCAGGGCTCATTTAAAGAACTTTAAACTAGATTTGAAGGGGGAAAGGAATAAAACCAGGCTCACTAGAGATAAGCCTGGGGGCAGCACACCAGTGTTTGAGGGACTATGTGCTAGCGAGGTCCTTCTGTCTGCCACCTCGGCGGAGGTAGGGGATGGACATCCATGCGGCAACAAAGATGCAAGGGTTATTGATGTGTTATAAACTATGGAAACACCTGAGAACAGTCATGTAGGAATTGGGGCTTCTCCCCTGAAAAAGGTGGCAGGATCAATAGCCCAACTGAAGGGCATCTACACCAATGCACACAGTATGGGCACAAACAGGAGGAGCTGGAAGCCATTGGGCAGCAGGAAAACTATGATACAGTTGTCATCACAGAAACATGGTGGGATGACTCGCACATCTGGAGTGCTGCAAGGGATGGCTATAAACTCTTCAGAAGGGATACACAAGGAAGGAGAGGCTGTGGGGTAGCCCTGTATATTAGGGAGTGTTTTGACTACCTAGAGCTTGATGATGGCAACGATAGGGTTGAGTGTTTATGGCTAAGAATCGGGGGGAAGGCCAGCAAGGCAGATATCATGGTCGGAGTCTGTGTTATAGACCACTCAACCAGGATGAAGAGACAGATGAAATATTCTATAAGCAGCTGGGAGAAGTCTCACAATCACTAGCCCTTGTTCTCGTGGGGGACTTCAACTTACCAGATATCTGCTGGAAATACAATACAGCGGAGAGGAAAGAGTCTAGGAGGTTCCTGGAGTGTGTGGAAGACAACTTCCTGACACAGCTGGTGAGGGAGCCAACTAGGGAAGGT